CCGTCAGAGGACACAGCCCATCATAAGCCATGCGAATGAGGAGTTGAACTGCTGTCCTCTTCCAACAAGCTGATGTTGTTGCTGCCGCGAGCCATTGTGTATTGTCATTCTTGTGCGCGGACTCTGCCTTGGCGAGTCGCCTGAGCAGCTGTGTATGCCAGGGTGCTTTAGGGAGCCTCCTTAAGGCAGTAGGTCAGCACCCTTCGACCGTTGAACCGCTCGCTGAGGTAGTCCTATTGACCGGCCCAAGTCAAGTCCGATGCCTCCCTAACATGATACGTGCTGGCGCTGCCCTGGCTCGTATGAATCATCTTCCGAGGAGCCACAGGATCCTCCAGATGGCTGCTGATTGCTGTAGCCTCCTCAACAGTCCTGTCGATGCGACGGAGCTGCTCATTAGTGTTGTTGATTCAGTCCGCAGCGGTATTGACATCGCCTTAGTCATGCCCTGTCTCGGAGCAGCGATTGATCTTCATCCCTCCCTTCCCCCAGATGAGGGAATTAAAGTGGTCCATACTCTACTCGAGGCCTCGGCTAACGCCCGCTCTGTTAAGGAGGGCGTTGCTCTCTGTGCTAAACTCGTCGAACAGTTGAGCGACAACAACATTTGTCCGGAGATCCGAAAACTGTTCATAAACTCTCCAGAACTACGACTTGCTATTCTGAGTGTAGACGGTGGTGGCCGACTCGCTAAGTTAGTTCTCACCGGCTCCCTACCTGCCGGGCTATTGTCATCGTCCCTGGAAGGCGTATCTCGCCTTCCTACTGCCACTCACTGGCAGCTGGCTCTGGCCATGTCCCCACAGCTAGATAGGAGCGTAGCTGTGTGTCTGCTCGCATGGCTGTTCTTCAATGTCTACGAGTGTGGTGGCCATATTGAGGCCCTTCTGGCTCCTACTGGTAGTTTCAACAGATCGGAGATGGATTTCAATGTCGCTCTGTTATTGGCGAGCCTGCATGCATCAGTCGATCAATCGCCACAGGAGCCTGTCTTATTGAGCTATTGTCAAGCA